AGAATTGCAAGGCCAGCACATGAGGGTGGAAAGCTTGAACTTCAAAAAACAATGCCATTCGACTTGTTAAATTCAGCAAAGAGTAGTTGAAGACCATGTAAACTTTGAAAGATTGTCAGCCTATCAACCATTGACTGCTCCCTTTGAGCGCAACTCAGAAAGGGTCAAAGATCTACAATATCAGTATGTGCTAGAAAGTGTAGATTTTCAATTGATGCTTACAGTCCAGTTCTGTGCTACTAGCCTACAGTTACCGTAAACTGCAGTATATTATAGTGTATGTAAATCAGGAGAGCCCACAAATGCACTTGCAGAAGTCTTTCTGTATCATTTACTAAATTACTTCATTTTGTATTTATAGTGTTTGAAATGGATTTCATGGAAAGGCCCCATGAATGCATTTTTGTATATGAAGCAGGGTTCAATCTTACAAAGAGAGAAGAGGCAGGAACATTATTAGCCAACATGCCATAGTGGAACGTGCCATCTTAAAGACAATAGAATTGGCCTATGGTGACACAGTTGTGGAGTGTTGTCAAGGCTGGCACAACAGTTTTTTTTGCCCATTGCCTGGCAAGGAACAACATTGGCTGTGATGTGGACAAAGTTCTCTGGCCGATATGAGCATTCAATAACACAACACCACTACAGTATGTATGATAAACATGTTTATTTAACCATCATACAGGAATGTTTGTCGAGCTTTTGGACATGTCAAAAAAGACAGAGCAAACAAAAATCTCAAACAGTTGAATATTTTGTTTGAAGGCATTAAAAAGGTGTAAAGAGGAGAAATAATATTGCGGCGCATTGTAGGAGACATAAATTAAAACTGCGTAGTTCTTTCAGGCGCTGGGGGCGTACTGCATGACAAGCCTGTCGAATTCATTCTCCTGTGGGAACATAATTGAGATTACAATGTCTTTATTAAACTTAGTACTTAATTTTTTTCACAGTTACTCAAGTAATGCCTTCTCAGAAAAGAAAAACAGAACAAGGTGTCCTGTATAACACTAAACAATCTTACCTTAGCATGATATTCTTTAATAAATGGATGTGACTTATGTGCATCTTTCAGTTGAGACAAATATCGATTTGTCACCTGCGCAGAAACAAAGAAACTATGAACATCTCTGCTATCCTTTACATAACTAATGCTTTCTCAGGGCACTGAAGCATGCAGATTATAGTGTTAATATTAACATCTTAACATCCCGCTGCTTCGGTAGCTGACTGTGCTGAGAACATTTATATTTATAAAGTTCACCTCAGGAGGTTTGCCCAAATGCTGTGTCAACACAATGAGGTTGATGAGTGTCTCCGGGTGGCTGCTGTCCTATAGAATATAAAGGACAAATCATGATATTTCACCGCTGTTAAAAGTGGACCAAAACCAGCTCATTAAATAATCAATATGAAGCACATCTTAATGAGTTTTGCTTTCAATTTCAATAGCAATTCCAGTTTTCAACAACAAATGCTTATTTTCCTTGTAAAGCAACCAATCTGCTGCCTTGTATAGGTAAACAGACAAGCAGAAAAAATTACACCCTCATTAGATTGTGATTCAAGATAGCATTTCTAATATAGTCCGAGTTTGGGTTGTTTGCTTAGCTTGAAGGTCTTGGATTCAACCAATAAGTCAGTCTACACTTGTCAAATTAGACAAAACTTCTTGACATTTGCTGTGCTGAAATCCAGGCTCTTACTTTGTCCAGAGCATCCTGTAGTACTGACTCAGCCTCATCCCACTTATTCTGAGCCATGTGACTTGCAGCCTGACCGTTCAGCAGCAGCAGTGTGGGCGAGTACTTGTCTGACATTTCCTGGAAGATATAGAACGCATCCTGCAATTTCTCTCCCCCCTGTTGGCAGAAGAATGAAAAACATTTCATTCCCAGTCAACAAGGGAAAAAAAACAATATACAATTCAGCAAAAACTGAACAAGTAGCCATATGCCGAGATTTTATAGAAAAACTAAACCATTTGACACTTTTCAACTCATGTTTAAATGCAAACAAATGTAAATTGATGCATTTAGAAGAAAAGCAAGTTATTACATTTTGATGAAAGTCTAAGACAACAATGTTTCTTTAGAAAGACATGCAATAATGAATCAGTCACAATAAAGGCTGTGACACATCAAGCTGACATCAGAGAAATAGTGGCGATGAAAGCCAACTGTGTTGGGCCAGAAAGCTGCATTCGAACACACCGCAAAGACCACAGTCAACAGCCAACTTGCACTTAGGGCCTGTCCAAAATATTAAATTCTGTGAACACTTTACTTACATTCTTACAATGCTATGTTGTCAAAGGATATACAAACATTATCAATGCAGCACTTGCATACTATATAAAATATGAATCATGTTGGTCAGTTGTTCTTCGGTTGCTTACATCACCGATGGCTATGTCATTATGTAAATATCTGCATATTGGAATGCTTAGGTAAAATGAGAAGAGTCTTCCCATGAGAAGAGACTTTTGTTTTTTTTCCTCATGCACTGTTTGGTTAAGCTGAACAGCCAATAAGAGTGATCTCTCACAACCAAAGGCTCCGACTCCATTTCAATATGCTCAATTGACCAAAAAGCCACCGACGGTGGTCCAACTAGTGCAAACAGTGCAGAACACACCACAAAAACTGGGCTGACAGATGTTCAACGATTGCCTGACACTGGCCAACAGCCAACTTGGTGTTTCACAGCCTTTAGACAAGGAACGTCCAAGAAAATCATTTTTCACATTTACGTCAATACTCACAATTGCAAGGTTGACCCAAGCGGTAGCAAGCTGGGTCAGAGTGGCATCTTCATCTTGGTCTTGCATCTTCTTTAATTCCTTTCTGTGGAGACAATGAGCAACACAACAGATCCATGACAATAATATATCCAAAGCCATTAACTAAAAGCAGGTTTAATTTTTATATTTGTAGCAAAAATATCATAAGTTAAGCTACATATTTTGTAATTTACAAATATTTTTGGAAAAAAAAAAAAAACATATGCATATAACATTTATACTGTACATACATACAAAACTAAATAATAATTAAAAATGAATGAATTAAAAGAAATACCTTGCCATATCAACTCTGTCCAGCTTTAGAAGTATCTGGACCGTCATGGCCATGCTATAAGAGAAATACAAAAAGACAGTGAGCAATTTAGGGATTTGTAATCCAATTTGTGTTAGATTAAGGGTGTATTCACACCCGTCTTGTTTGGTTCGATTGAAACGAACTCAAGTTCGTTTCCCACTTTGGTGCAGATCTTTTGGGCAGGTGTGAATACAGCAATAGCACTCTGGTGCGGACCAAACAACCATACCGAGACCCAGCTGAAGAGGTGGTCTCGGTCCGGTTCCAAACAAACTCTGGTACGGTTGAATGGATGAACCAATGAATGGATGACCTTAAGCACACGTGTGGTTTTGTTTACAGTTTCTGGTTCACTTGCAAAAAGGGCAGTGTGAAAGCGAACCGCACCAACCAAAAAAAAAAATCAACATTGTATTTGGTCCGGATAAAAGCAAGTGAACTAGCAGACTTTCCTGGTGTGAATAGAATACACCCTAAATCAAACATTTATGAAACTGCCAGAAAGTCTCTGGAAACTCACCACTCCAGACTGTCTCCCTGGTGCAGGGTACGTAATGCAGCATCTGTGTTCATCTCATGTAGATAGATGGAAGCCGCCATCAACAGGAAGGTGGTGTTGGAAACATCAACACTCTTGGCCATCTTTTTGTCCAGTTCTGCCACTATTGCATCCCTAAAAAAAGTATTTGGCCATAAGATAAATGAATCCATTCATGCATAATGCAAGGCTTCTGTAGGTTTTACGAAGATATGTTTTTAAATCGCAGAAAAATGACTAAACTGTATGTTTCTAGATTTTAAATTATATATACGTATGGTCTGATATAATAAAGACAAAAAGACTGCACAAACCTCATGCCTTCATTGGACATGTACTCTGCAAACATCCTGACAGCCTGCAGCTCCTCAGAGGAGCTGGGCTTTATATCATCCAGTACCACACCATACTTCCTCTGAGGAGACCGAAATCATCACTGTTAACCACCTAATTATTGATTATCTCATTTCCAGCATTAACCTAACTTCTCAAACTCCTTTTTATATAAAAAAGGACATTCTTTACTGTGTTTGTTGTTCTAAAGATGAAACAGCTGTGATATCCTTACTAACAGGAGGAAAAAAGACATTGTAGCTGACAGTTACATAAAACTATAATATGCAAATCAATCTAAATTTGTACAAGTGTTTATTCCGAACAAAATCAAAACAACGCAGCAGCAGCATCACAACAGACTGATGAACTTAACGTACCTGAGCAATATATGCTCTGTACAGAAAAATGTTCTTCTCAACATCCTTTTCTGGATTTGATGTCTGAAAGAAATATAAAATAGTTACATGTGGTTGTTTGTAATTTGTTAATTACAATCTTTAAACAGGTAACGTTATGTGATACATAGAAGCTATAATGAATTAGCCGCTAGCATAAACATACTCTAGAACCTAAAACTCTTTGAGGAAATGTTTTCGTCTTATGAACAATATTTTTTTTGCAGGACGCTCACCTTTACTTTCTGGGCTTCGTTAATGCAGTGTTGATAGCTGCCAATATAAAACAAGTTTTTCACATCGAACAGCTCATCCACTTCATTCTGCTGCGACGCCATGTTCGTGAACCGTCAACTTTGGCGACGTCACTTGGGCCACGTAACCAGAACCGCTTGCTTCGATGAATTCAATCCGGTTTGTGGATGCTGTCCTCTTGTGGCACCGCAAGGAATAGACTAACTGCTGCTTTTTCGTCAGTCAAGCCCGTTTGATAAGGTCAATTAAGCATACAGTAAATTATGAGGGTCCGGACAAACCATTAGGTGAAAGATCGAGTTTTAGTTATGTGTCTAACAAACTGCTCATTGCATGGTGCTGGCAACAATGAAAACAAATGTTTAGCTAAATATGATTGGATATTTGGGCACCATTGCCTATAAAAGGCATCTCAAACAAGGCTCTTGTACTATCCTGGCATTCCTGTTATTGTAGGAACCATATTATATTTATTTTATATGAAATTTGAGGAAAAACAGTCATTCAGGTTTACGCACCAACCGAGGAAGCAAATGATGCTGAAAAGGAGGAGTTCTATGATGTGCTACAGGCCGTGATTGACGAAATACCAAGACATGATCTCAAAATCGTTATTGGAGACATGAATGCCCAGTTCAGCCACGACCGCCAGGGTTTCGAAGACATCACTGGCCCTTTCGCATCATCGAAACGCCTGTCAGATAATGGTGAACGGTTGTTGTCGTTTTGCACATATAACAACCTTTGCGTAGGAAACACCTTTTTCCAAAATAAGTTATTTCACAAGATGACATGGCGCTCGCCAAATGGTCTCACATTTAATGAAATTGATCATGTTTGCATTAGTCGACGGTGGAGGACTGCTTTGAGGGATGTGAGGGTCTTCAGCGCCGCAGATGTGGGTTCAGATCATTACTTGGTCCGTATAAATCTTAAGCTCAAACTACAACGACATGAAGGAAGATCGGAAACTGTCCGACCATTTGCAATTGAAAAGTTTAAAGATCAAAATATTGCAGATGTCTTCACCCTTCAGCTTTCCAATCGATTTCAGGCTTTAGCTGATGTGACAGAGATCGAGTCAAAATGGCAAGGCTTCAAGGAAACACTGACCACTTGTGCGCAACAAGGGATTGTCCAAAGGAGAGGAAGGCGGAAGGAAGAATGGATTAAGGATAGGTCATGGGCCCTGATTGACCTAAGGAAGAAGGCCAAAAAGAAGCGGGATCAAGCCCAAGAGGTTGAGGATAAGGAAACGGCATCACGTACATATGCTGACCTTGACCGGGCTATGAAACAGAGCTGTAGGCGAGATAAGAAAGATTGGTTGGAGAAGAAATGCAAAGAAGCCCAGGTGGCTGCAGATCGAAATGATACCCGCACCCTGTCATTAAAGACCTATCAGGAGCCTGGAGTAGTTCCTCTGTTCCAATTAAAGACAAGAATGGTAAGTTGCTCCTTACCAAGGAGGAACAGAATGACCGATGGGTTGAACACTTCCCGAGAGATTTTAAAGATTAGAGAAGGATTTTAAAGAAAGGATTTTAAATCTACGCTTTACGAAACATCATTGAACAATGCGTAGAGTATAAACGTCCACTTTCCATCAATTTTGTAAGTTTGTCGAATTCAGGAAAGCCTTTGATAGTGTCCATCGTGAATCTTTATGGCATATTTTACAATTGTATGGTGTGCCAAAGAAATTCATATCTGTCTTCCAATCATTGTATAACAATTCCAGCTGCTGCGTCAAGACAGATACAGGCCACACTGACTTCTTTGCCATTGAGACCGGTGTCAGACAAGGATGTATCTTGTCACCATTTTTATTAATAGTGGCCCTAGATTTTGTCATGAGGAAGGCTATGGTAAGACCAAACGCAGGCATTGATTGGGATGGACAGAACCGCCTCACTGATCTTGATTTTGCGGATGATATAGCTCTGCTCGCTGAAAACAGTTATCATTTACAGGAAATAACATCAAGCTTGCATGAAGAAGCAACGAAGGTCGGATTACACATTAGTGCCAAAAAATCCAAAGTCATGCATATCGGCGCTCAAGTTGACATGCCAAGGATTAAGATTGATGGAAGTGACATTGAAGAGGTTAGTAGGTTTACGTATCTTGGCAGCACTAGTGGACAAGATGGAGATGCAGAGATAGACGTCAAATGCCGGATTGGCAAGGCAACATCAGTCTTTCAACAAATGTGCAAGACCTGGTCACCTACGTCAATCTCACTTAACATCAAGCTTCGCTTTTATACAACTATCATCCTTCCGATGGCAACTTATGCAGCAGAAACGTGGAAGGCATCAGCTCGTATTTCTCACAAGGTAGACGTCTTCCATCAGCGCTGCCTGACTGTCTCATCCAGTCAGCGGTAAGTAATCTATCCTCAAACCAATGGTGCTGTCTCAAACTATACCTACCTCTTCCGGTTTGTCTGATTTGTCGGTGTTTTCTGACTTGCTATTTTGTTTTCGGATTTGTCGTTGTGTTTTCTGACTTATGTTTTCTGAATTGTTGTTGTGTTTTCTGAATTGTTATTTTGTTTTTTAGATTTGCATTTGCGTTTGTAATTTGTTATTTTGTTTTCAGAATTGTGATTTGTTTTGCTCTTCTCGGCCACCGTAACTTCCTCATGCTAGAAATAGCCCCATGGCTCACCTATGTCCTTTTTTTTTGTAGATTATTGTGATGTTTTTATCAGCTGTTTGGACTCTCATTCTGATGGCACCCATTCACTACGGAGGATCCATTGGTGAGTAAAGTGATGTAATGTTAAATTCATCCAAATCTGTTCCAATGATGAATGAATTTTCATTATTGACAGAACTATTCCTTTAATATTTACAAAATGTTTAGATGTATGTGATCATATCACAAGTTTGAAGTATTTCTCTCTTTTTTGGGAGGGCTCATTGAAACTTTTCTCACTAGCTCACTGCATCTCTCTACCCATCTTACTTTTCATAACAGTAGTTTAGTTCTATGCGAACAAACTGGAAAATGTACTGCCAATAGTAGACTTTTTTCATTCGGTACAGATATTGATAGGGTAGACTGAGTACCGTTGTAACACAGGTTTTATACAGGGTAAAAATAATATTCACATACATTCAGGAAGGGTGTTAATGGAATTTATTAGCATATGGGGCTGAGCATAAAAGGAAATATAAAGGAATAAAGCAAAAAAAAAGGAAATGCCAGATTTGATCAAGTCTGAGTAGGCCTTACAATTTAACACCAGTGTCATATAGTGATTAAGTTCATAGCAGCAAGCAAATAAAGATTTCCAATACAGTAAATAAACCCAATACAGTGCTGCAAATATGAATGCACAATAATGTGCTCATGTACTTGTTAAAAGGCTCAGATATCAAAAACTGATACTGTGATACTGATACCATTCATAAGTTGTTACCCTAACAGGTAACCCAAGACTATATGTAATCTAACGTAATTCAAATGAATAAAAACAATACATTTACACAAGGTTCATGACATCATTCCTGAACCATTATTCAACATTATAATAACGAAGAAAGCAATGTCTCAAATTTTGAGGTCAGGGTGTAATTCAGTAAAGCACAAGGAACCGCTCTTAGAAAGCTAGCACCCATTCCATTATAAAAACCTCTGACTCCATATTTCTCATAGATTCCAAAGAGTCCTTGAAGAGCATCTGTAGGCTTCTGTGAGCTTGAACAGAAAGCTGAAATTGTGAGGGGAAAAAAACAACATAGTGGTCAAATATTTTTTTTCGTAAATGCTAAAGAAATTCAGAAGACAAATGCTGTACACATATTTGCACAGTCTGGGACTGATGATCATATTTATACTAACAGGAGAATATTTACTATTCTTGAGCTTACTGCACCAGTTTGAATACTCTCTGTATGAAAGAACAACTGAAGGTCAAGCTTTTTGCTGTTTTTGCCCTCAAACCTTTGAATAATGCTTGCTACCACAGAGAGAGTGACTAAAATGTATAAAAAGTAGCAACTTCTATAACACTGGGAAGCCTTAACATCATTGAAAATGCTAACAAATTGTATGTGAACAGAATATATAGTGCTCTAAAACAAGACTGACAGCTATATTCTAAGATGAGGAGGATAAAAATGTACATGATTCTACAGCACAGAAGACATTTTTTGTTGATGAAAGGAAACATTTATCCAAGTAATTATCATCAGTTCAGGTTAACGTTCACCTTGAGCTTGCTGGTGAGTTCTGATGACAGCAAGAGGGTAACTGGTGGCCTGTCCTGATGCAAATGCTGCAAAACTGAAGAGGAAGAGCTTGGAGTCACTGAAGTGCTCTGGATCCTGTTTAGCCCAGCTCATAATTGACTGTCAGAGGAGAAAGGTTTCATGTTAATGACTGATTCATGAGTGAAATAAAATCAAATATTCAAATTAGTCACTATAATTGAACATTTTCTTTATTACTTGCACATCAATGTAGTGGTGGCAATAATCATTACATTATTACAGTGCAGTATTAAAGGGGTCATATGATGCTTTTTTAAAGATCATAATTTTGTGGAATATCTCTTTGGTGTTGAGACTTTAGTCTTTGCAACTTCAGGGATCTTATCTATGCACAATCAGCTTGTAACACTCCAAAGAGAAAGGAAAACTTGAAATCGCATCATATGACCCCTTTAAAGGCTGCTATATTTAGTAAAATTACACTATTTTTGTGCAATGGTCTGATGACAAATATGCAAACTGATATTTTATTTTTTTCACAATGGTAACAACATAGTAGACTGTATAATTTTGAACATTTTAGTAATAATCATCAAACATGTAAAAAGGTCTCAATCTGAATTTCGTAAGGAGCTATTTCTATCTGATCTAACCACTACATTTGGATTTACTGGTTTAACGTAATATATTTAAGTTGAGATGAATGATGTCAAATGTTATTGAATAAAATCTATGAATGCAGATGTTTTTGCATGGAGCACATTTTAGGATAATATTTTCTTCATTGATACAAATAATTTCATATAATAAAAAATAAAAACAAAATAATAAATAAGAAAGTACTGGTAATTAATGGTATAAAATGTCACATAATAAAACACACACACTAAGCTTTTTAGTTTTAAACTTTTAGCAATGTTCTTTAATTAACATTTTACGATTTTATGTACAATCAGGTAATAGATGAAACTTACAGCTGTGTAAATTAGGATGTTAAGAAAGTAAAACTTGCAGTTTGCCTATTCAGCAATAACACTGCCTGAATGTAAAAGCAGTTTGTCTCTGGCTCAGATACGGAACCTCCTCCAGTGCCCTGTATTACCTGATGCACTGCACATTCCACTCCAGCATAAGGGATCATGCAGAGTATGCTGGGTTTGAACCCTCTGTAGAAAGCTGACACGGACTCGTTCTGGTAAATCAACCTGGCACATCCCAAAACTCCATTGTAGGTACCAGCAGGCTGGAGATTGAGTCTAACTTTCAATACCTGCCATTACAAGAATTAAAAAATGAGTCCGCAAATTAGCGTTGATCTAACTAGTCATAATTGTGAATGTTAACTACAAGTCAGTTCGAATGCATTCCATTTCCTGTTGATGAAAATGACTATAATATGGAAAGTAATTGTATGTATGAATTGAGTTTATTTCTTGTAATTCACAATTATGACTATATTCATAATTGTGACTGTATATCTCACAGTGTCATAGTATTTTGCTGTGCATTGAGCTGTTACATGAGGCAACAGGCTTGTGTAACAAAGCTACATTAGACATTCCCTGTAGGAAACAAGCATGAAAATAATACAACACAAAGATAATGAATCAGTTATACACCTAATTTGCATCCATATTTGCTCTTTATGTTGTTGTATCCTGCTTTTGTTGTAAAGTAAATTAGAAAGTAATATGATATGGATATTTCTCAATGTGTCAATTGTGTTCTGAAAAAGAAAAAAAATATATAACTTTTTATTTTTTACTGGTTATTGCATGAGAGTTTTATTGGTTATTGCATGAGAAATTCTTTGTAAAGAATGTAATATCATTGCAGGCATGACAGGCATGACAACTACACCCTTTCTTTCACAAACATTTCACAAACAACACCTCTAACAGTAAGGAACTCCAACCTGTTGTGTCACTGTGATACCTCTAAGGGGTAGAACACGGCATGTGCCACGGCCCCTGACACACAGCCCAGTCCAAACCTTTGATGGACCGACAGACTGTCCCTCTCGCCAAGTGTGTACATCCTCATCTGTAAGGACAGTGAGATAAAGAATTAATGTTTGAACATTTGTGTTCATGTGAGCGAATGTGTGTGTGTTTGTGGGCACACCTGGGCATAGATGAAGCACTGAAGCGTTGATTGTGGAGTTCCTTTAAGAACATTCACAGCATTTCCTTGCCACAAGGATCTAAAACCTCCAGTCTGCAGCTCTCGGAATCCCAGAGACACAGCTTTGGATCCAAAAACCTGTTTAGCATATTGCACTGTTCAGGCTATTATTGTCAGATCAGACACTCACAGTTTTACAAATTAAATATATTGTGATTACTCACAATTGAATTGAAATACAAATGATTTCTAAGCTAAAGAATTGCTATGACTGTACTTGAGACTTTTTATTTGAAAGATCTAACAAAATTTTAAATTAGTGTGTCTTTATGATGTTGTGTGATATTGTTGAACCTGGCTTGATGCAATGTTCAGAAAATGTATTGTTACGGAAATGTATGCAAAATGCAAATTAATGCATATTTAATTAGAAAATGCCCAAATTGCACATTTAAACATTTGAGAAAACTTGTAATACAAGCAACAACAAAAAAATGCTTGCAATTCTTAAAGAAATCAATCAGCTGGGGAAGTTTGACAGTATCTATTAGTTACATTTTTCGCCCTGTTCACCCGGGTTGTCTGGCCTATTTGTAAACGTAAATTGTAAATGCATATTTACATTTATTTATCCAAAGCGACTTACAATTGAGGATTACAATAAGCGATTCATCATAAAGAGGCAAATAAATGCAGGAAATGCTTGCAATACAACTAAAGATACACCTACAAGAAATGATGATGATGAGTATATTCTTTATCTTTTCTGGCAAAATAAAACTAAAATATTACTGAGTCATCATCATTTCTTGTACAGTAGGTGTATCTTTAGTTGCACTAACACTATTTATTTATTATTATTACTTTATCATACTTTATTTCCTTTGATTTTACAATCAAAATGGCTTTTCGCTTCTGAAATATTTAACCCTGGGTCATCCTGAACCCCAGGTAAACACTTGGGTTATCTTTTACAATTACAACTCTAGGGTTTACAATTATATGCTGACATTCACAGCTGACGTTTATTCCTATCCTATTCAATTCTTATTTGCATATTTGCAGTGTCATTGATGGGACAAATGCAGCACTTGACCTGTTTACACAACAGCTCTAGAATGGCACATTTTCACATTATATATTGCCGAATGCCATCCAGTTTTTCCTGAATAGAGATAAGAATTAAAGAGTGTCTTCTTCACTCCAGTTGACGCATTTTCCATCACCATTTGATATCTTTCCCCATAAACGCTGAAACGACTGTTTATACAATGTATAAATCCTGTTCCAGAGCAGGGTTTCATAACCCCAGGAATTACAAGAGTGAGACGTTCCACTACACAGGGTTAAAAGCAGGGTTTAGAACAAAGATAACCTGGGGTTAAGTTCAGTGTGAAAAGCCTTAAAGGGGTGGTTGTGGTTCACTGGGTTTTTTCTAGGCTTGATTGTGTTTATGGGGTACAGTCTAATATGTGTTAATGCTTCGTTAAAAAAAAAACGCATTATTTTTCACATAGTTTACCTTTATTCCGCACCGCTCTGTCCCTTCTCTGAGAAACGGGCTGATCTTTTCCTGTTTTTATGAGGCCCCACCCTCAGAAATAGGCGATGGGCTCTGATTGGTTAGCTAGCCCAGTGTGTTGTGATTGGCTAAACC